CAGATCACTGATATTAATATATCAGAGTTTTATTACCATTACATAAAAATCGATTGACCAACAATTTGTTATCGTTAAAACATACGTAATTTTATGGATAGGGAGACATTGTTGAAAGTCATTTTGCAACAATTACGTTTTTCAACTGGTCAATTAATGATGTCACGACTTATGGGGTGTATTTGACAATTGAAGGACATATTCTAGTTTCGAGTCGCAAGTGTTGCCAGCTTCACGGCAATCTGTTGTTTTTCTAAGCTAAGGCAAAGAGATACCACGGCGTATCTGATGTTAGACACTTACTAAAGCCCGTGGATACCAGTGGATGCTGTTATTCACTTTGGAACACGAGATTTAAGCCTTAAATCGATAGGTCTGATTGATTCGCAGCAGAAATAGGCAGGATCGTGTTCAGAAATTTTCAGATCTGATAGGGAAAATTGGTAATTTTACATAAACCAGTTAATCTTGCTACGAAAAATTTACAATTTCATTATTGTCCAGATAAAATTTTGAAATTGGAGATATAGTTACAAATTAATGTAGTAATAATGATTCTAATAAAATTTATCATTAATTTTGTAATCGAAATAAAATCGGAACGCTACGATTTCTTAGTACCAAATCGTTTTTTTTCTTTTTCTTTATTTTTAATTTTTATTACAATACCAATAGCGCATTGTAAAAAATTATCAACCGAATATATTTTATTATCGGGCAATCCGTGACAAAGTTGCTATAACATCTCGACATTAGAGTCGTTTGACGCAATCTTGTCATAACAGTTTAGATGCTTCGTGTGACGATAAACACTTGTTTAACGATAGTGATAATAATGGGTAGATTCAGGTAGGGGCGCTTGGGTCTCTGGTACCCAGTAGGTAGGGGGGGGTTTTCAAATTTATACGATGAATTCCAATTCGAACGCAGAAGGGTTAATTTTCTTTCTCCAATAAGGATTTGTTAAACAGCAACAAAAAATAATTAAACTAGTTAGGATTAGGCGGTAGCCATCGCAGAACACAAGATATTTGACAGATGCCTGAATCTCGCTTACGACATTTTCAAAAATAAGCTTGCATATATACAAGTTCCGAAGAACAGCATTCGGACCGTCGGTCTACTGAGCAATATCAGCCGCTCGGTGGAAGATCTTCCCTTTGTCGTATATCTCTCCACAAGGATCATAGGACAAAGACAAAGCAATGAAATGATTGTGTCGTCATCGGACCTTGGAGCGTGTGCAAATTTTCAAGTTAATCGGACATTTTGAAGTCAGCGAAAATTGTTTGGGTTGCTGTCATCTCGCTCCGATTTGGAGGTAACGATAAAGGGAAGATATTCGCTTATAAGAAATCGCTCGGTAGACCAGCATTCTTAATTATGAATTTTTTAGGAAGGAAGGATTACTGGTGGCCCGGAAGCCTTTCCAGATTCACCAGGACGAGCACGGGTTCAGCCAGGATGGGTGGGACTTGCTAAACGCTGCTCAAGCGCCTCCGAAGCAGACCTACAGATAAAGGGTTCTTCATGTTGTTTTTGAAACTTGTATATATGCAGGCTTACTTTGAAAATGTCACTAGCGAAATTCATCTATCGAATATCCTGTGATAGCTACCGCCACGAAACCACATAGCTTATTTAATTTGAGAATTAAAAAAAAAACTTTAGTGTCTGGTATCGACTCCTTTCATCACTTCATCATCATCATCATCAACAGCCCACAGTCGTCCACTGCTGGACATAGGCCTTTCCCAATCCACATCACTTAATCATCGGGTATAATTGTTAGAAAGTGTTTGAAGAAATCTTATTGGGGAATCGCATTGTTACAATTGCCCGTCGGTTAAATCCAATTGGGTTAAAACCCAATTCTTTTTTCAACCCGGATTTTCAACAATTAGGCTGCTAACGCCTCTTATCAGATTAAGTAAAGGAGTTTTTCAATGTAATGTTCACTGACATCAAAATGTTTTGATTAGCTTGAAAATTTTGAGATGGGTCAATCAAAAATGTACCGATGACAAAACAATAAGTTCTACTAGAATGACCAGGCTAAAAAAAAATTTGTCGCTCCGCGTATATTGTTCCCCTATACGTTTTAATAAGAGAATCAACCGAACTAATTACCTAGTATTTTCTTTCACGACGACACGACACTTATATGGTGAACCTTATTTGAACACTAAACAATTAAGTTTTTTTTTTCCCTACCTATGCTGATAGCCTTGAGAGGCTATTTCAGCTTCACCCTAACGTTTGTAGGTGAGCTCGCGGGGCTCAACCGGAGAGTTGCTAACACCGACCCTAGCAAGAGCAGTGCTTCGCAGAATCTACTACCGGATCGGAAACGCGACCCACTGAGAAGATCCGGCGAGAAACTCAGTGGGCTGTGTCTATGGGTTAGTTCGCTCGTCGAGCCCTTCGTCGCAAGCGACGGGTTCGATGAGGACGGTGTCCGGTGCTTGTGGTGCCTAAAAGCACCGTTAATGGGTCAGGAGGATCCGTAATGACGTGCCAATTAAGTACAGGCAGGAGACACTTAAAGGAAATTGTACTCTCTTTTATAATATATATTAAAGAAATTGAAATTTTTAGCAACGTACATAAACAATAGGGTTAAATCTTCAAACTTTTTTTAAATATGTTTACGTAACTCAAAAACCGGAGAAAATATTGGACAAATAAAACATTGCCCACAGTAACAGACGTAGAAATAAGTTTCTCTTAGAATAATTAGTGCGTTCTTGGAGGGATATATTAGGTACTTATATTACGCCGCAATTTACGGTTAGATATTGTATACAATTAGACGAATATCCCCCCCTATATGTGAATCTAAATACGTCCCATTTTAAAGAGCAATAATGAATGTTTTCCTCGGAGAGTCGCATTACGGCTATCTCAAGTACATGAGACACACAAAATCACGAGATAATGAGCGTCTCGGGATCAGATTGAGATATTATCTCTCGGAGATTGCTCAAAGCACTTGTTACAGTCATTGGCACGTGTATGAGGCATTTTAAAATAGATTCTTGTGGATTATAAGATGATTGTATTCTTTATGATATTAGTAAGATGGTTAGAATTATCAATTCGTTTTTATTTCAGAAGATAAATGCTTTCATACGATAAACTCCTAGTGTGCGCTTGATCTTTTTACTGCCAGGACCTAGAGAGAAGCGTCCCCTTATAGGTCAGAAACATCAATCCTCTCAAGAATCATACTATATCATCATAATATGCTAGTACTACGCTAGTTATCTTATACTCGAGATATAAGGAAAATTATGACGCAACTACCTATAGTCTCAACGTTACATTTGTTTGAGATTTTCGTTGTTTGTAATAGGCAAACATAGGCAAAGGTAAGTGATAAGGTAATAATAGTGACTTTCTTTTTGCTTTCCGTACCTATTCGCTGTTGGCGTAAGGGGCTATTTCAGCTTCTCGCGGACATGTAGGTGAGCTCACGGGCTCAATCTGAGAGAATTTGCGAGTAATAGGAGTGCTTTGATTAGATGGGTGGACGAGCTCACAGCCGCGCGGACTCACAAGAGGACCGGAATCGCGCCCCATTGAGAAGATCCGGCGAGAAACTCAGTGGGCTGTGTGTGTCTATGGGTTAGTTGGCTCTCCGAACTCTTCGTCTATAACTGACAGCTTTAATATCGCCAATGAATACTTAAAGTTCGCGTGTCCTTTGTAGAAACTGTATTTATTCTAAAACTATAAAATAAATTATGTGGAATTTTAAGTAGGTATTTTTTGAAGAGACATCACAACATTGCTGCCACTCACATCGGGATAGGAGGCTGAGTTCAATTGTTACGGAACTTTTTGTAATGCAGTATAATTATTAAAAGAAAAAATAAATAACAAATTAACAATAAAATTTCATTTAACAAATAACAAATAACATTTAAAATTCAATATTGTTCGGGGATAAGTCTTAATTTTTTTTATTACATAATATTACGTTTAAATTATCTCAAAGAGTAATCGTTCGTAAGCAATTACATAATTAACAAATTGCAAATTAATTTACTAAAGTTACGATGCGAACGATCATAATTTGTGGTAGTTATTTTTTCTGTTTAAAATTCATTCAATTTAAAGAAAGCAAAAAAAAGAAGCTACAAGACCGACGGACTCCTTGGACTTATCTTAATAATTAAGATATATATAGTCAGCAATCACAGCTTATAATTATTTTTTAATCTAAATTTACTTAGTAGAATTTTTTTATGAAAATAATGAAAAGATATTATTTAAAAATTTACACGTCCGTAAAAGAAATCACATTAATTTCTTGTGCACACGGATCTTTAGTAAATATATATTTCTTTATTTAAAACTTTGAATTAAAGTTCATAACTTATTTTCTTATTAGGATATTTCTCAAGAAGTGATTTTTCACCAGTAAATGTTTTTTAACACGTAAATTATAAAATTAATATTTTACAACAATTCATCCAGCTGCAAAAACCTTTTTTAGTATTTTAATATTTTTAAAACTTTCTCTAAATCTCTAAAAATAAGAAAAATAGAGACAAGCTTCATTCTTGATATTGTAATTTTAATTAAAAGCCGATAGAACATCAAATCCTTTTTATATTTTTCAGTTAAAATAATTTTAAATAAAATAAAGCAATTTCCAAAAATAAGATCAGATAGAAACATATAGAACAGTAAGTAAAAGTTACTTTAAATTTATCACTGCATTTTACTGAGAAATAAAATTAAATTAATTTATTATTTTTAAGAACTGTAAAAATTCAATAACTTTCTTTAAATAATTTATAACTGAAAATAGTTAAATACGTTACGAAAACAAATTTGTCTTGCAATTCACCTTCAAAGGTCCAAGAGGTCAATACACGAAGCATTTTACGGGCGGCCATCAACACTGAGGCCCACTGGTCACTCCATATAAGGCACATAAAACAATGACGCCTCGATAATTTGCATTGTAATCTAATCGAAATTACACTTACCCAATGGTGGATTATTTTCGCGATATCAGTCTCTGTATGCCAGAAATTTTAATAGTCCGATCTCACTATCTAGTCTCTCACAGATCACTTGAATTTATTTTTTGAACACAATTCAACAGTCTTATTCAACACTGAATGCACAATTTTTGTGTAATATGTAAAAGCGTGCGCTCGTGAGCGAACGCATCTCGAGCTGACGACAACCTCGCACGGCGAGATGCCGTCTCCTTGTGATTGTGATGAGAGCACGCACTGTCGCTCTGCTCTCGGGGGAGCAGAAGATGGCCGGTGATTGGTCGAGAGTGGCACGGCGGCCGAGCGCGCGGACTGAACGAGAGAGCGCATCTCGCTCCCGAGGTGAGCAAGCGAGATAGCTAGCGCCCGTCGTTTCGTTCGTCCTGACGAGTTCAGGTGGATCATTGTTGAGAGTGTCGGTGATAATATGGAGATGCCTTTCTGAGTGGTTCCGTCTTTATCATTTAATAAATTTTATCTTTGAGATTAAAACAATGATGGCGACTAATATTATTTGCGCTATCACAGTAACTTGAAAACAACATTAAAATAAATAGGTTGTTTAATTATTATTTTTTAACTTCTTTAGTAACTGAACAATAAAAGGTAACTTTTTTGAAATAATGAGGATATAAATAAACTGTTTGTGATCGAACACACATTGCTAAGGTTGAATAGTAATTTTTGTTGTCGTTGTACAAATAATTGGAATAAATGTAATTGAATTTTCGTCACTATTACATTGTCGCCGTAATTGTAGCTAATCTTATATATCGTTAATGATTGTCTTTACTATATCGTTAACGAATGGCTAATAGTCGTAGACCCTTAGATAGTTAAATATGTAACTGTTTTATAGATCTGTTTAAACTGGTTTTATCCGTTAACTACAGAACAGGTCAGACTTTAAATGGTGTTAGGAAATAACTAGAAAACAATTATTCAGGATTAAAATAAGGTATTTGGTCAAACAATACTATTATAACATAATGCAATAATGTTTTAAAATGTAAATCAGCACATGACCATTTATCTGGACACTTAATCACGTGTACTAATAACCTATTTGTTTTTCACCTATTTTCCTTAACTTACTTCCTTAGTAATTCTCTAATTTCATGTAGAAATTTTGCTTTAAGGTTTGATTCAATCAAAGAGCAATCACTATACTAATGCGATTCGGATTTTAGTTTTGTGTTTCAAAGGTTAACATGACATGGCATCACAAAAATTACGTTTCTTTAAATTAGAAACGTCTAGAAACTTTTTTATTTTTTTTTATTGCTTAGATGGGTGGACGAGCTCACAGCCCACCTGGTGTTAAGTGGTTACTGGAGCCCATGGACATCTACAACGTAAATGCGCCACCCACCTTGAGATATAAGTTCTAAAGATCTCAGTATAGTTACAACGGCTGCTCCACCCTTCGAACCGAAACGCATTACTGCTTCTTTCGAAAATCGGAATCTAAAATTCAACTCTCGGTTAAATCTCCTGTTGATCTCAATATTATAGGCATTACGCGTTTACACTACGTTTGGATATTCCTATGATTAATATTAACATATGATATCTGCCAATACGATTTTATGTTATTTCCATGGATAAATTATTCGAAAACTCGTCATAACAAATTACCTAACCAATTAGTAACCATAGTTTGCGGCTCATTACAGACTACAAAATGTATTTTAATTCTACAATAAGTCATGCGCAATGAGGCTTCTGGACACGTCATGGCGTAAAAGAAATTCTTCAATAATGTTACTAGCCACGACTAATTACATTGAATATAAACTTGTGGTGTATTTAAATAAGGTCGTGTTTCAAATAATTTATTAGACTATGTTAGAACATAAAAAAAAGTCATAAATCAAACATAAAGCAACAAATTTGACCCATCAACATCCTTTGGACTTTACTAAATGTGAATATTCTCGAACAAATATTGAAATCCGTAAATAAGAATATGACTTCAGTATACTTGATAATATAGGTCCGGTGAGTTGTTTTGAAAAATATATGCAGAAATTAAATGGATCGAATAAGATATTAGGCCAAATATAACCAAATAAGGAACATCCGGTTAAGTATCTATCACATTATAAGTATTCCTAAAATCGATGACTTGGCTCGTTAAATTTATTGCAGAGAATGATCGAAGATAAGGAGGTGTATGCTAGCGTTATCTTCGCCAGAATTACTAGAAAACAGTTTTTTTTTGTTATCTGCTTATATTTAATCTACAGATTAATCATCCTTGCCGAACGTGTTTTGAATGCATTAAGCAATCGCTCAGTTTTGGAAATTATTGTTTTCAATTGGAAATATCAAAAGAAATGTCAAGATTCATTAATACTTTTGTTTGTTTCACGTAAACCAAATAACCTTTACATTATGAGTACAACGAAAGTTAGGATAATTTAAAGTGAAACTAACATTGGTATAAATATGACGTATTCTTCGTCACTGGTATATTTCATATGACATGTATTGTTTGCAATTTGAATTGGAGTAAATAAGTTTTAGAACGTCACCGAAGCATCATCCTAAGCATGTTATTTCTTTGCTTACAGTAAACCTGTGAAATTTTCTGTCAATTTTATAAGCAAAAAAAGAATTTGGATCGCGAACAATAAAACATATGAATTAAATGTCGAAGTTGTTGAAATTATACATTAAGAATCATATTTTGATTATTTTAAGCACGGAATAGATAAATAAGGTTATTTTATCTATTCCGTGATTTTAAGTGTAAGACTGTTTGTGAAGATATCGTCTGCAACGAATATTTATGGAGATTGCGATTTCCTCGGTCTATGAGTCTGTAAGGGAAGGTAGCTAAGGTTGGGGTACAACAAGCGTACTACGAAAAAAGCAGCTACATAAAGAATGCACTATAGAAGTTGATTTAACACGTCATGACCACACTTAATGGAAAAATTCATCACACATTAATTGTCTATTAGACATTTAATCCCGTGTAAAAAAACGACAATGGTTTTAATTCCTCGGTACGATTTATCATTGAACTGATAACTTCACACAAAATACACGTATGTATTCACAATGCGTTTGAACTGATACAGTACGTATTTACGAATCGTTTGGGAGCCCATCTCGCATTTGACCTCTCGACAATCGGTCAACTGTGTTTGAGCAAACACATCGCCCTTCGATCTGTCAACACGTGGCCAAGTGTCTGTTATTCTGTTTATCCTTGTATTTATATTAATACCATTATCGAATATTGCGCTGCTAGGTAAGTACTTTTGGTAAAAATAGTTAAAACGTTTTTAATACCTATTCGTTGTTGATTTAAAGCTTATCGTAAACTTTTCTTTATTTAGCTTCAACATTTATCTTCACGAATGCTGCTGTATTTTCTGGTCTTAGTCCTTATGGTACTTTTTTCTAGGTTGACGAAAAAGTTACATAAAACAGGCCGTTTGCCGTAAGTTTAATTTTTAATGTTATATGGATGAATGAGCTCACTGCCAGCGACATTGAGATATAAGTTTTAAGTCTTAGGTTTATAATAAATACAACGGATGTCCCGCCCATCAAACCAAAACGCATTACTGCTTCACGGCAGAAACAGACAGACTCACAAGATGCTTTACCATCAGTAATTAGGCAAATTTTATCTTTTGCAAATTTGTTCTTTTTTATAACGCGATGTTATTCCTTCACCGTGGAAGTCATTCGTGAACATTTTTACCTGCTTGCGGGATTCGAACATTAGCACAGCCGTATCGACCGATATGAATGCACCGAACGTCGTATCCTTTGGGGTATGACGTCTTCAGGGTTACCAATAAATGCTTTATCATTCTCCCGCGATCATGTGAAAACGTATTGGAACATATTTGCTTTAAGATTTAAGAATTATCTATGAGGATGGCATTACTTAACGAAGCTGTGTATTGTTTTTTTCAATTCGATGAAATTAGAAGTTAAATGAAAAGGATTTAAAGAAAACTTCTGATACAAATTCAAGGTTGATAAACATAATAATCTTTAGACAAATAACAATAGGAAAGGTCGTAATAGAATAATATAAAAAATTAATATAATCAGACGAAATGATTACAGATGTAGTGCGATAACGGCACGGCATTTTGTATGTTGTTTTACTTGTCTCAAGGTAGTTTTGATTTAATCAGTCATATAGATAATGGAAAATCAGCTGATTAAAATAGTAATAAACGCTTTTAATACTTATAGGTATTTAAAATTACTCTAGGGATCTTTTTGTCTACGGCAACATAGTTGTGATTAAAAAGTAGGATAAATAGGCAGATAAATTTATGGTTTAAGGTGTAATCACATAACAAACTTTTTATTGCTAAAATGGATGGACGAGTTCATGGCTCACCCGGTGTTATGTGGGCACCGAAGTCCATAGACATCAACCACGTTAACTCCGCCGCCTATTTCGAGACATGAACTCTAAATCTCAGCCTCAGTTACATTACAAATGTTGCCATTGACTTTGAGCCCGACTCTCTGAACTTTAATAACCATTAATGATATGCCACAGAAAAGACAAATATACCTAAACCACAATAAGTTCTTTATATTTTTAAACATGATATGCGGTATCGATATGTTAGTGTTCTAATAACGGTGCTAGAGATACGGTAAAGATTTAAAAAGAATATATTATCAGAAACAATCGTCATTGAACAAATAAACCTTTGGTAGGAATCTTATCTGACTTCGGCTTTAAGCCGTCCGTAGGTATTTGTTTCAGTGTACTTAGGTTGACGTTAATGTTTCTTATTTTTACTAATCTCATGCTAAAACAAACCTAACCTGGATAACTGTATATGCATTCGTATTTTGAGAAGGCCGTCTTTAAAACTATTTAAAATTGGATCCTTTTTTTCTCTTTGACTCTGGCAGGGATCCCTAAAAAGTAATAACATTAATAGTATTGTTTAGGTATTAAAAATATCGAAGCTATTATGTTAATTACTTATTAATTGAAGCTATAAATGTAACGTTTACAGCCTTTGGTTATCTTTTTATTAAAAAGGCTGAGTAAGAGAAAATGGGATGTTATTCTTAGCATGAATACATACATATTTTTTTATTAAAACAAACAAGTTAATACAGTACTCCTTTCGGTGAAATAAGAATCAGAGATAGCGGACCAATTCTGTTAAGTTTTGTTGTTTAAACAATAATAACGCATGC